CTAACAGTTCCCTAGCCTCCAGAAGATAAGTACAAATGTCTCTGTACCGATCCGCGAGATTCTACTAAACCTGCTTGTGACTCATAACACCTATGAACCTAGAGCTCTGATACCAACTTGTCATGACCCAAATCTCCCTCCGTAAGATGTCGTGACGACACCTAGTCTCTAAGACTAGGTAAGCCTAATAGCTGCGGAATAACTGAAATAACAACAGAATTAACGACTGAACCTCAACATCAGCAGGTATATATATAGATAAAGCCGGAAACCTGCCGCTCGTCATGTACAAGTAAAACCAACAATTCGGAGTATAAACAACATCCCAAAGACCTGGTAGTCACAAGTCACAAGCTCTAAGGAATTTTTCTAACTGTCTCTATACATCAATATCTAGGAAAAATAAAGAAGAACGGCATAAGAAGGACAGAGGGGGACTCTGAGGTCTGCAGACACTGCCAGATATACCTTGAAGTCTCTGTAGCAACAACACGCACTCTCTACTGATAGCAGGGCTGGTAAAAGGTACGTGGATCTGCACACAAAACATGTGCAGAAGAGTAGTATGAGTACACCACAACGGAACCCAGTCGGTGGAATAGTGACGGCGTCAGGTTAGGGCCTTACTGGAATATAATGATTTAGGCAGAAGATATAGCAATATAATGAAAAAGATGGAGACTTTAACAATGAGAAATTACAAAAAGGTAACAAAGCAGCGCATAGGGATAAACAACAGGGGCACTCCCGAGGTACCGCCTCGTAGTCCCAAAAGCAAATACTCAATAGGGGATCTCCCGAGGTACCGCCTCGTAGTCCCAAAAGTAAATATGCAACGAGAAAACTTCCGAGGTAATGCCTCGTAGTCCCAAAAGTAAATATGCAATAGGGGAAACTCCCGAGGTATCGCCTCGTAATCCCAAAAGTAAATATGCAACATGAGATCTCCCGAGGTACCGCCTCGTAGTCCCAAAAGTAAATATGCAACAGGATAACTCCCGAGATATCACCTCGTAATCCCAAAAGTAAATATGCAACGGAAAAACTCCCGAGGTATCGCCTCGTAATCCCAAAAGTAAATACACAATTCATAACTTAAGGAGCAACGAATTTACAGCAAGAAATCCTACCATTAAAGATTGAATACAAATCAAGGAAAAACAGAAATTCAACTAAGCATGTTGCACATATTTCAAATAAGCATTTAAGACACGTAGACATACGATATTAAGCAAAACATGATAACTACATATGCTGGGATAGTTCATTTAAGATATAATAGGTTACTGTGCAGTAAAAACCAGATTTTAAATAATTAGCCCGTGTATGCACTTGTCACCTCGCGTAGACGGCACTCACATAACACAGGTTATCACAACAATACCAAATCCTAAAGAGAATTCCCCTACACAAGGTTAGGCAAGCCACTTACCTCGAACCAAGCTCATCAGTCAATAAGAATGCCTTTTCCTCGACTTTCCGACTCCGAATGACCCAAATCTAGCTAAAAACAATTACATACTATAAATATAACTATAAGAAACTAATCTAATTAATGAAATCAAGACTTTAACAAGAAATTAGAAAATCGCCCCAAAAACAACAGAATTAACGACTGAATCTCAACATCAGCAGGTATATATATAGATAAAGCTGGAAACCTGCTGCTCGGCATGTACAAGTAAAACCAACAACTCCCAGTATAAACAACATCCTAAAGACCTGGTAGTCACAAGTCACAAGCTCTAAGGAATTTTTCTAACTGTATCTAAACATCAATATCTAGGAAAAATAAATAAGAACGACATAAGAAGGATAGAGGGGGACTCTGAGGTCTGCAGACACTGCCAGATATACCTTGAAGTCTCCGTAGCAGCAACACGCACTCTCTACTAATAGCGGGGCTGGTAGAAGGTACGTGGATCTACACACAAAACATGTGCAGAAGAGTAGTATGAGTACACCACAACGGTACCCAGTAAATACCAAGCCTAACCTCGGTGGAGTAGTGATGAGGTCAGGTCAGGGCCCTACTGGAATATAATAATTTAGGCAGAAGATATAGCAATATAATGAAAAAGATGGAGAATTTAACAATGAGAAATTACAAAAAGGTAACAAAGCAGCGCATAGGGATAAACAACAGGGGCACTCCCGAGGTACTGCCTCGTAGTCCCAAAAGTAAATACTCAACAGGGGATCTCCCGAGGTACCGCCTCGTAGTCCCAAAAGTAAATATGCAACGGGAAAACTTCTGAGGTACTGCCTCGTAGTCCCAAAAGTAAATATGCAATAGGGGAAACTCCCGAGGTATCGCCTCTTAGTCCCAAAAGTAAATATGCAACATGAGATCTCCCGAGGTACCGCCTCGTAGTCCCAAAAGTAAATATGCAATGGGATAACTCCCGAGGTATCGCCTCGTAATCCCAAAAGTAAATATGCAACGGGAAAACTCCTGAGGTATCGCCTCGAACCTAAGGGGAATTCCTCTACACAAGGTTAGGCAAGCCACTTATCTCGAATCAAGCTCAATCAGTCAATAAGAATGCCTTTTCCTCGATTTTCTGACTCTGAATGGCCCAAATCTAGCCAAAAATAATTACATACTATAAATATAACTACAAGAGACTAATCTAATTAATGAAAATAAGACTTAAACAAGAAATTAGAAAATCGCCCCAAAAAGTCGACCCGGGCCCACGTCTCAGAATCGGGTAAAAGTCACAAAATCCGAACACTCGTTCAACCACGAGTCCACCCATAACAAAATTACTCAAATCCGATACCAAAATCTCAATCAAAACCACAAAATTCGGTTTAAGAACTTTTCAACTTTCCCCCCAAATTTCTCTACCCAAAACCTTAATTAAATGATGAAATTAACGATGGATTAGTGGATATTAATAAAAAAAAATACGTCAAGAATCCTTACCCAAATTTTTCCTCTGAAAATCCCTTAAATTTTCGCCTCAATTCGAGCTCTCAAGGTCCCAAAATAAAAATGGGAGAAAAGCCCTCGATTTGAAATTTTAAAGCTGCCCATGTCTTTTCTTCTTCGCGAACGCGGAATGTGCCTCGCGTTCGCGATGCACAAAAAATCTCAGCTGCCAGATTCCTCTTCATGAACGCAACCTCTCATACGCGAACGCGGAGAACAGTTTCCTTCACCTTCGCGAACGCGTGGCCAACTTCGCGAACGTGAAGAACAAATTCCACGTGACTCCCATATACCCTTCTCGAACGCGAGACCTCTCTTGCGAACGCGATGAAGGAAACCAGCAAGAAAACATCAATGATTTTCTGCAACTCCAACAAGTCCCGAAATATTCCGAACATGATCCAAATCACACCCGAGGCCCCTGGGACCTCAACCAAACATACCAACAAGTCCTAAAACACCATACAAACTTAGTTGAGCCCTCAAATCACGCCAAACAATACTAAAAATACGAATACCACCCCTAATCAAGGTTAATGAACTTTAGAACTTCAAACTTCTACGACCGATGCCGAAACCTATCTAATCACGTTCGATTGACCTCAAATTTTGCATACAAGTCACATTTGCCATTACGGACCTACTCCAACTTACGAAATCGGAATCCGACCCTGATATCAAAAAGTCCTCCCCCGGTCAAACTTCCCAAAAATTAAACTTTCGTCATTTCAAGCCTAATTCAACTACGGGCCTCCAAATCACAATCCGGACACGCTTCTAAGTCCAAAATCACCCAACAGAGCTAACGAAACCAACAAAACTCCATTCCAGTGTTGTCTTCACACAATTCTAACTATGGTGAAATTCCTAGAACTTAAGTTTCCATCCTTGAGACTAAGTGTCTCAATTCATTCCGAAATCCCTCCGGACACGAACCGATCAACCCGGCAAGTCACATAAGCATAAAATGAGACAGAGGAAGCAGTAAACCCGAACCGATCAACCCGACAAGTCACATAAGCATAAAATGAGACAGAGGAAGCAATAAATAGAGGATCACGGCTAATACTCTCAAAACGACCGACCGAGTCGTTACAATTGGGGACAACTTAAAGGGGTTATTTATGTATTTCACATAGCAGTTTGTATTACCTAGTGCCTATATATATATATATATATATATATATATATATATATATATATTTCCAGTCAGAGATTTTATAGTCAATGTTCTTTTCTATTTTTTTCTTTTTTTTCGACGTGTGTGTAAAGACATTGGAATGATCTATTCTTGGATAAAGTGAAAGCTTTTACTATATCTTTCGCTTGTTTCGTGATAAAAGGACAGACTTACTCGTCTGATAGCTTCATTTTATCCCTTTATGGTATTATTCTTTCATTTAAAATTTTGTTTATACCATTGTGACTGTTTTACTGAAAAAAGAAATATTATTTCCAGAAATGAAGCATTTTTTTCCTTTTAAAGTTAAATTTTATTTTTAATGATAACTAAGCAATCTAATTATAAGAATCGAAATCAAGTTTTATTGAGCAATCTAACTCCGTATTTCCAAAATAGATAGAGTATTTATTTGGGCAATTCTAGTATTATACTCCCTCCGGTCCAAAATAAGTGATTTTTTGGCCTATTTTTTGTGATCCAAAATAAGTGATTTTCCGGATTTCAAGAATGAATTAATTATTTTTTTCCTACATTGCCCTTGGAGTAAATACTAAATAATGTTGGAGTATGTGTTAGTAGTGTTTAAGTGAAGAGATAGTAAAAGTTAATATGGACAATTTCATTGCTAATTAATATTAAAAGGTGAATTTCTTAATATGTGTGAAAATAACCAAAAAATCACTTATTTTGAACTGGAGGGAGTACTAACTTACAAGTGTCTAAAAATAAATGAAGCTCAAACCAAACCAGTCCCCCTTCACCTGGTGGCATTAGATTCTGTCCTCTTACCCTTTAAAAAATATCCAATACAATCTTTGTCTTAACACTTACTAGTATTAATTAAAAAGTATTCATCACACAAAAAGTAACATTTTTAATCAGAACTTAGTGGGACTAATTAGCACAAAATATTCCCATAAACCCCTGTCCCTTTTCACACTCTCCTTTTCTGCTTCTTTCTTCTGTTCTTCCCCCCACACACACACACACTCTTTTTCTCATCTTGCTTCTTTTTATCTGTGTGCAAAACCAAAACCCCATTTCTATAAAACCCTTTTTATCTACTTCATTCTTTAGATTTGCAAAATATATATGAAAATGAGAGGACCTTTAGGGGCAGTAATAGGGAGGTACCCTTCAAGTGATGGTACAACCCAAACAGGGGATGGTATAATCAAACACAACAGGAAATGTAGAGATGTTGTGTTTCTTGTTATCTTCATTGCTTTCTGGGTTGCTATGATTGTCAATTCCAGCTTTGGATTTAACCAAGGAAACCCATTGAGGTAAAACACAAAGAAAATAAAAAAGTTGCTTGTTTTTTACTGTTTTTTCATAGCCCAAATGTGTCTGTGAAGTCTTTTACATTTTGATCTGTTAGTTTAATGTGTAAGATGTTTTTTTCCCTTCTTTTTGTTGTATCTTGAATTACTGTAATCTGGGGTTTCATGAGCTTCATATATGCTTTTTAATTCACCTTTTCTTTGAAAAGGTTACTCCTTTGTAGTTGTTTTGTTCCGACTGCAAGTTTCAGATGTTATCTTTGTTATGTTTGTGAAGGGTGAAAAGAATGCAACAAGTTTTGACACAAGTCAAAAAAAGAATGTTCTTTTCTTGTCCAAGATTTGTTATTTTTTGGCTCTTTGTAATTGATATTGTCATTAAAGGAACCTGAGTTTATGTCCTAAGTTTTCAGTTAAGGATGGTATACATAAACTCCTTTTTTGGAAACAAGATAATGCACTTTCTAGAGGAGAAAATCAGGAATTGCAGAATTGTTGAGTTGTGTGTCCATCTCAGTTAAATGCTTACGCTTTTTTAGAGAACGCGCACTTATATTTACTCAATTGTGTCTTCAGCACACCCCCTTACAGTTGGCTTGATTCATTTTTTCATGGCCAAAAATGCGGAAATATTTTTTGATAATGGGTGGCGTTGAGACTCGAATCCTAAACTATTCTCTGATACTATACTGAATTGTGTAATCGTTTCATCTAAAAGATTAAGCTTTTAGAGAAAGCACACTTATAGCCCGTTTGGCCAAGCTGCAAAAATCAGCTTATTTTGAGAAGTGCTTTTTTTCAAAAGTGCTTTTCTCAAAAGTACTTTTGGTGAGAAGCAATTTGTGTTTGGCTAATTAGTTTGAAAAGCACTTCTGAGCAGCAATTAGTGTTTGGCCAAGCTTTAAAAAACTGCTTGTAAGTGTATTTTTCTCAAAAGTGCTTCTCAAAAAAGTGCTTTTGGAGAGAAGCTACTTTTTTCTGCTTCTCCAAAACTGCTTCTGCTTCTCCTCAAAAGTACTTTTTTCCCTTCCAAAAGCTTGGTCAAACACCTCAATTTTTGGCCAAAAGTGCTTTTGGCCAAAAAAAAGCACTTTTGGCCAAACAGGCTATTATATCTACTTAATTATGTCACCAACAATATCTTTCAATATTCTGCTTACTCAACTATGGACGGTTCTTTTCTCTAAATAGAATTCTATCATAGGAGCTGTTTTCACCCTGTCCATGCGAACCAATATCTTACGCTTGTCTACCGTTATACTAGTTCACTCATTTGTCATATTCCTGATGCATCTGATCTGGTTTAGCAGGCTAACATATGGGCTGGACTATAAAGGCAATGTTTGTGGTGATAGACATGCCAATCCAGATCTTCGTGAATTGGAACTCAGATACTGGTTGAACCCTAATCAAGTTTATGAAAGTGGTTCAAAAGATAACCAGGCCAAGATTTCTAATGCCAGGACCATTTGCTTAATGGACTGCCCTATCCCATCAGAAGATTCTCTAAATTGGGTGTGTGACTATCCGGAGGGCGATGTTCGTCTGTCAGTAGATGACTGGATCGATAGGAATTATGATTATTTTGCAGACCTTACTCCGGACCTAAGAAACACTTCTCTTCAGCTTCAAGGTCCTTGTTACCCTGTCATATTTCCTAGTGTTAATGGTAAGTGAAAACAAATGAGCCAAATTAATTGTGGAAGACATTTGTGGTACTTGTGATTGATTTAAGTACTTGAGATGTTTAATTTCCTGTTGGAAGTTTTGAGTGTCTTGAGATAGTTAATTTATTTTTCGATCTTCTAATATTTTGTGCCAGTTTATTGGAGCTGCCAGCTTATTGCCCGTGCATCAAATGTGTCTTTGCGGCATTGGAGGGAGATGGGCGGTGTTAACATTGTTGAGGACATTGCAGTTGATAAATCCATCCATGGCTTAGTTAACTCTCGATCGTTGGTCTTAAAGGTTGAGTGACTTACTATTCTCTTGTTTTTCTTGTAAAGTACTCAGCTAAAATATTCTTTTGAAATTTGTATTAAAAATGAGACACCCAAGAGATGTAGATTGCCAGTTTCATTGGCTGTAGATGACGTTTTCACTTGGAACTGCATCAGGATACACAAGAGCATGTAAAAAAGGTGTTCCTTTTCATATCCACAAAAACTGAGGATCTCTTTTTTCTATCAGTAAAAGTGTAACTCATTTTCATAAACAACAAACATGTTTCATTTGACCTGTGTAGTCAATGGTCAAACGATGACTAAAAGAGCGGAACCCTGAAATGTTCAAGTAACACATATTATATCAAACTTGGTGTCTCACTCGTATTCTCTATGGTAAGACATTCTATTATTTAAGAGTTCAAATTTCACATTTGAGTCTCATTTGCAGAGATATGTAGCTGATGTTGGCAAGTCATGGGGAGTGTTGATTGTTTGTGGAGGGATTTTGCCAGTGTTTCTATCAGTGATATGGCTTTTGATGATTCGTCACTTAGTGGCTGCAATGCCTTGGATAACTGTCGTCCTCTTTAATGCCCTTATTATTTCAGTCACAATGTTCTACTACTTGAAAGGTTAGGCCCTGTCTCCTATTGTTTTCCTTCTGGTTGTTATGTCTTAATAGTAATTCATGTCAATTTTCAGTTCTATATCCAGTTTGTAATTGAGATGAAGCACGCTCTGACAAAATTTATGCTCCCTCTTTGAAGTTCTAATTCCTGCATTCTATCTTATGTTTGTTGTGTAATTGAACATCATATGTTTCCATTGAGTACACTGACAAAACTATCCTCCTTTCCTATCAAGCTGGATGGATTGGCAATGACTCTATCTCCCCCATCATTGGTGAACATGATCCGTATTATCATGTGTCTGCAAGGGTATGCTTGATTTTTCAGTTTTACCATTCTCTATGTAATAGTTTGCTTTTCGTTTGGTGTAGTATTTAATCAAATTATCTACTTGATAGGAAATAAGTCACCTCCATGCTGCTGCGGTTCTCATGACTGCTGTGATGATTATTTCGGTCTTGTCATCCATCGCCATAGTGCGACGTATCCTTATGGCTACTTCTGTCCTGAAGGTAAGTCCATCTCTCTCCCTTTCTGAGCCATATAGCACCGTGTTGTTATTATCATTTTATTAAGCCATAAAAGGGTAATTTCGTTAATAATCAGCACTAAGATGGTGCTGTAAATTACAGTGTAATATATGTACCTTCAAACGGAAAAAAGCAAAAAGCAAAAGGTGTAGTTCTTTCTAACAGTGGAAGGACTCTACAAAATCTATTCGTGATTCAGCCTCCCGAGCATACTCATTTCTGCACCAAACATTCAGCAAAAATATATAATCAGCCTTATAGCACTGTGTTGTATGTGTTCAGAGGAGTAACACCTTCTAAAACTTCTTCTTTTTTCCTCTCTATATTTTAGCCCTTCACAATGGAGTATTAAACTAAACATGATTTTATTCTGCCCTTTTACATGGAAATGATGACCCTCACATACACAAAAGAATGTTGTAACTGCCTTTTGCTAGATAAATGTCTTCTAATTTTCTTTTAAAAAAAGAAGATAAAGACTATAAAAAAACACGAGAAGCATGCGGTAGATTCTGGATATTATAGTTAATTACTTAGTTTATGTCCATACAGAGAGAATTTTCCTATTTGCAGAAAAACAGCAAGGAGCTTTTTTGACTATTTCTTGGTATTACAGGTTTTGTACTATCTTCATGAAGTCAAATTTATACTCTTAACACCAGAATAACCATAAGAATAAAGATTACATTAAGAAACACGTCATCTGCTCTCTGAGGCAAAACGTTGACCTAGAAGAGTAGTTCATCTTAATTTATATTCCCTAGATAGTGAAGGAATTGACTTCATAGCAGTTTGGTTTCTTTTCCTGTCCATGGGTTGAGTATTAAGCTTCTTATCTCTAGATAAATTTACTTAAAATGATAAATGAGCATTTAAATTGCAGGTAGCTGCTAAGGTTATTGGAGAAGTACAAGCACTAATAATTTTTCCCATCATTCCATATGCTATCCTAGCAATCTTCTACATGTTTTGGTTTTCAGCTGCACTTCATCTTTTTAGTTCTGGACGAATTGTCCAGAATGATTGCAACACGAACTGCTGTGCGTATGATCTTAAATCAAAAAGAGTGAGCTGCGATCGTTGCTGTGGATACAGTATCCAGTATACTTCTCATATTGGTGTTGCAATTCTTTTCCACTTGTTTGGCTGCTATTGGGCCACACAGTTTTTCGTGGCAAGCTCTGCAACGGTTATTGCAGGCTCTGTTGCTACATACTATTGGTCTCGAGGCGGAACATCGGTAGGTCATAAATTCTACTCTCTTATTTTTCCAGTAATGCTTTTGAACATATATACATGAATAATTTCATCTCTACATTTCAGAACTATTTCATCTTTTGTGAAGTTTAACCTACTCTTATTAGTCCATATTACTTTCTTTCAATTATCATTACATGATTTTATCCAAATCATTCTGAATTTCTGCTATTTCTTCGCTTAATCATGTTTATCGTTTGATACTCGCATGCAATCAGCTTTAGTAGCCTGTTTCATGTATTATTGAGATAAAAAGGTTCCTGATTTAATACAAGAGTATTTTTTTCGGGTATGTTCTGGTGACTGATTAGCTTCTATTTTTGCAAGTGCAGCCAGAAATTTCATTTCTCCCAGTGTTCTCCTCTATGAAGCGGCTTATACGTTACAGCGTTGGATCTGTTGCTCTTGGTTCGCTGATTGTTTCTTTTATAGAGTCTATCAGGTTTCTACTTGAAGCACTCCGGCGTAAATTTAAAGTTGCTAATTCAGCACCAGAAGGTTGGGTTGGAAGAATGGTATATAATTCCTCACAAGGTTGCCTGCGGTGTATTAGTTGGATCATCAAATCTGTGAATCGTAATGCTTACATCTTGGTAAGTAATAAGTGTTGCAATCCCATTTGAAGTTCCTCAAGTTTAGTGCAGTATGCTTGGGAAAACATGACATTTTGTTGTGTTTAGCAATTTTTTATGCTATATTTTTCAGTGTCCTGACATGATATTAAATTGTTTGTTTTAGAAGCGGGTAATGCCTGTTGTTTCTCTCAAATCTATGATGGGATTTGAAGTTCTAATTAGGTCTCAACTCGTATTTTTAGAACGTTAAATTAACAAGAACGTGACATCATTGTATGCATGATCTAGACTTGTAGTAACAGCATCAGTTTTGATGGTGCTTGTGATACATTGCAGATAGCTATAACAGGAAAGAGCTTTTTCAAGTCTTCTGAGATTGCAACTGATCTCATTATCAGCAACATCCTTCGGATCGGAAAGGTGAATGTCATTGGCGATGTTATTCTCTTTCTCGGGAAGCTGTGTGTCAGTCTTGCAAGTGCACTTTTTGCTTTTCTCATGTTGGATACTCACAAGTACAAGTCTGGACATAACAAGATCTCATCTCCAATATTCCCGGTGCTGGTAAGTCTAATTCTGTTGGTTGGATTATCCATTTAAGTAGATGCAACTATCTATTTTACAAAACTAATAATTAAGAAAGTGCTCAGATCCTTTGGGCAATTCTATTACCACTTCAACAAAGTGCTCAGATCCTTTGAGCAATTTTATTACCACTTCAAATTATGCAAGGTGTAGAGCTAGACAGAGAGAAAGAAGACCTATATACATAAACTTACAGAATACTATTCAGGAAAGGTGTGGTTAGAAGATTTCACTTGATGATTGCTTATGATAATGATGCAAGACTAACTGATACATAACATATGTTGCTGCAGTGAATCTGCAAATGCCTAGATAATTAAGTATAGTATCTCTAGCTTGATCCGTGTTTCTAATGCAGGTCTGCTGGAGTCTTGGCTACGTTGTGGCAACTCTTTTCTTTGCCGTTGTGGAGATGTCAATTGATACCATAATACTTTCATTTTGCCAAGACTCAGAGGAGCACCAAGGAACCGCCCAGTACGCCCCTCCTCTTCTTATTGAGACTTTGAATGACCAAAATGAGATGCAAAGACTTACACAATGATCAACGAAATCTCCAGATGATATCTCATGCATTAGCTTGAATGTTATCATTTCAGGTGTAATCGCTTGTCATCTAAATTAATTGAGTGTTTTTGTTAGCTCCTTCTCTAACTTGCTCTTTAGCCTTTTTGATAGATTTTGTATCTTATAGTTGTAAATAATTTTAAGTCCAAATTAGATCAAGCAAACTCTGCAATTTCTTCAATAGGGGCATATGCCCAACGATAAGAGTTGGCTTTGGCAGTAACATACAATGAAAATTAAGATATTGATGAATATTTTTCAAAGCTTGTTGGAATGAAAAGTTTGGTGAAAAAGATGCGTACTACTTCAATACTACCTGCGGAGATAGCTCGATCCATGTAAAACAAATTCATTTTAAATATCTTATGCGTCTTAAAATTGGAAAGTGAAATCGAGAATACATGGTGAAGTCTCTTACACAAATTAAGCTTGACAAGTTGGAGTTCACTCTCGAGCTCAAACATACCGTAATTCATAAAAGTTACAACGAATCAAAATATTGTTAAAACCATCACTGATGTCATCCGTTTTTTACTCCAATATGATAAAATCCTGGATCGATGTACTTGCAATCAATCATGGAATGCAAATTATAATATATATATATATATATATATATATATATATATATATATATATATATATTCTAAGTTGAATAAAGGCAAGCGAAAGCAAATGTATTGGTTAATCTACTCGTGATATCAATGAGCAAAACATTAGTCTGAGTAAACGGTGCCAAAGCAGAACTTTATTGGTTGAGAATTAAGAGGAACAGAAAATTTAAGGATTCCTTTGAAGTCTTTCTGCCAGCAAAAAGGGGCTATAAGACCAATTTGGTTGTTTCCTGTCTACGCAAAAAATGCGGAAGTATTTCAGGCTCAGACAGTTGATTTTTTAGCAAAAGTCAGTTTCCTTGGATCTATTTCATCTGCTTTTATCACAATTGCTTTGCCATTATCTTCTTCCGTCCATGCTATCGAGGCCCTCTCCAAAAGTTTGATTATCTGCTTCAAATATCTTAGTATCATACTTATGTTTAACAAAGGTTGATTCAAGTAGGTAAAGAATGTAACATAAGTAGAACAAAGAAAATTTATTCAATGACATGTAACATAAGTAGAACAAAGATAATTTATTCATTCAGATTTACTATATGGGATATGAATCAACAGACATCAGATAGAATAAAATTCATAAAAAAATTCCCTCTAACACCACGGCATGGGTTGAATCCTTTTAAATGCATCGTTTCGCAATCCTATTTTATCCAAAGTCCTATAAATAAAAATATTCTTGATCAAAATAGTGGAAATGAGAAGATCAGGACTAGAACAATCTCTAAAACGAGCTTTCTTATATATATTGGAAATAATCATATCCTATATTTCCTAGAAATAACAATTTAAATATCACCACTAAATTTCCTATGTTGATGCTATGAATGATTACACTAACTATACTGACACCTCAGTAAAGCTCCAGACGGTGCTCCACTGTATAGTTAAATAGTCACCATTTCAGCACTGTTGCGCTCCCAGCAAGCGAGTATAAAGAAGAAGATATCGCTACTTCAACATTGAGGATTTACATTTATGAAAGATGTAAATGGAAGACTTGTGCTCATGAAAGTGTGATCTTTCCCTTACATATTTTTAAAGGTGAAAAGATGAACTGGCATACATCATATTTGTATTTAAACTTCCCACATCTCATATTTTAGGTCTATAATCATCTAGAATTACCAATCTGGTATGAATTGTTTAGACATCAAGGTCAAATATTTAGAACCATCTAGATTTTTAGAAGGGGCCACACCATGCATGACATGGCAGTGACAGAAGAATCACAAACAGCAATGTTCTTCACAAAGCAATTTCTAGGGCCTAAGGAACTCTCTTTTTTTGTAAAGTATAATATTCCAATCATCGATAATGTACATCCATGAGAAACACTGCAGCAGATCGATAAAATTATTCTTTTTTGATAAGGAGATGGACCGAATTATTCAAAAATATCAGCACAAAAAAAAAAGGAAATAGAAGCAGGTCATACCACACGCTTCCGAAGACCTTTGGCTTCTTCATTGGTGATCCCAACTATGATTTTGAGATATTGAATAGCTGATGAACGGAAAGTTATCAATGTCATTTCTTATATTAAAAAGTTGAAGAAGGCATGTAATGACAATAACCTACAGGAGATGCCACAAAGAGATGTCAACTGAATTTTGAGACAGCGCACTGCTTCCTTTGGCTCAAAATCGTGAAGATCGACAGTCACAATTTCTTTGCTGTAACTGCACCCAAGTTATTGGTGTAAATACAAGCTCTGTAAGCAAAATATATGAGTAGAGAAAGACAAGAGAGAGGAAGGTGGTTCTCTGCCGAACCTGATTTCAAGAAGCTTTTGAGCGGATTGTTCATCAGTCTCTCGGGCCTTTGTCATGAAAAAGTTTCCCTGTCTCATGAGACGATTATGAGTAAAATGCCAGCACAACACCATAATGAAAATTTAAACAAGTGGATCAACCAAGGCAAGATCAACTTTTGGGAAGAGAAGAGTTCGCACATATTGGACATGTACTCCAGCACGAATTTAGAGCCTTTTTTTTTCGTGATAGGTGATGTTGGAGTATTTTAGAAGTGAAAGACGTCATGGAATATTAAGAACCTGGCAGCACTATCTTCAAAGGCGTTTTATACTCCTCAACTTACTTTGCGTTTTGGGATTTGTCGGCTAACTAAAAGCTAAAACCTCCCTTGATAGGTATAGAGCAAGAACCGAGTAGATATTTGGATAGTTTGACGGAAGATGACAGAACTCTTAAGTCTGACCACTTAATAAGCTAAGGTGGTAACTGCACACCATCCACACCCAGCCGATACCACTAGTAGAACATCTCATTAAGAGCCCAGTTATTTCCACTAACATTTTCAAATGTAAGCACGAACGAAAGTCACTTTAGATAAAGGAACAAACACCATACCTCTTCCAGGAATCTGCATGCCTTGACATGATCTCCTTTTTGAAATGCTTCAGCAGCCTGGAACAATATTTAAGTTTATAATACCAGTCATGACTTAACATGCTAAACTTTTCTTCACCTCAATCAACACAGAATGAAGCATCTTAATGTGAATTTTTTTTTTTGGATAACAAGCATCTTAATGTTATTCTGATCATGAAACAGTATAAGAGAGGTTATGTGACTCACTGCTTTATAGTACTCTTTCATTGTAATCCAATACTCCTTTACAGCTTTTCGGAGAACTTCGTAGCTTTCTTCATTCTCCTCACCATCTAATAATAGAAAACTATGAGGTGTTTACGTAACAAAGTGAAATAAAATAGCTAAACACTTTCACTAGTGATACTCCCTATTAAAGAAATAACGGCCCCCCCCCCCCCAACCCCAACCCCACCCCCCACCCAAAAGAAAAAAAGAGAGAGAACAAAGCTTATTTACTTAGCAGTTCGAAGCCATCTAAAAGTGCAACCGTGGATTGGTTGAATATCATGCAACCCTACTCAATCATTGCCAACAACACAGACTTTGTACAATTGCAAAACAGTCCCTATTTGTATAGAGGATTGGGCTTGAGCTCCCTATTTGTATAGAGGATTGGGCTTCTTTTGTTGAGAACCATATTTTGGTGCAGATTCTCTCTTTTTGGTATACAGCTTATATACAGGGGTTTCTCCCCAATTGTTAATAAAATTATTTACCTTATCAAAAAAAAAAAGTGAGTACAAAATCAATAGAAAAAGGCAATCAAAAGAAGATATGAAATCCTTGATAAGAAGCCATATGTTACCATATACACTTATTTCATCTGCACAACACAAGTAATAAACAAATGAAGTGCTTACTTTTTGCATCACTCTGTGGTGTCCTGATAAGAATCTGGCGTTCTACAGTCTCCTGTAATGGTTTCACTACAAACTGGCTTAATCGCCTAGACTTTTCAACTTCCCTCACATGACGAATCACGTCATCCACATCATCATGTCTTGCAGGCACATTAAACAATGTCTGTAGAACTTCCTTCTGAAGCTCATACCTGTCCTTCTCCTTCTTAGATAAGTTGAGCCCATTTTTAGTCATATTCTTTGCTTTGGAACTGCATTAGCAAAAGAAGAAGGATGACCTCCAAGTCACAACACCTTGCAAATTAAGAAATCTATTTAACAAAAAGTTCTATTCCTGAACATAAAAATTCTAGAAGATAATTTCTGGAGGGCAAAGTACCGGCTGGTTGGATCTGGCATTGAGGGTGTCTCTTGCGATGCAACTGATGCAAAATCTGGACTCTCCACGGACTGTTACATCAGATCAGATAAAGCATAGTAAGTAAAGAAAAAATTCATGTGATTGACACTTGAATACTTGGACATTTCAATTGCATCTGGAACTGATATAAAATTATCACTAAAGATTAAAATAAATTCTTACAGGTGGAGTAGCTCAGGTAATAAGGGATAGGAGACGAGTGGTTGGTTATATGTTCTCTTTAATTTGAGAGACGGGGAAACTGGTCTGACCATCTAAACAGCCCAATAATATAAAAAATAATTCCTAGATTTCAAAGGAATATAGATAATTATATGGTGAGTCAAACATTATTAATCTTGTAAGCTCTTTTTACAGCTAGAAGCAACGTCAATTTGGTTTAGACGGACTGCGTAAGCTACAGACACAAAACAATTTCCAATTTTAGAGAAGTTACCTCATAGAAATCTATTGTCTACAAATAAAATCCCTTTTAAAATTACCTCCCAAAAGGAATACATTGCTATTTTGTTTCTGAAGGGGTAATCAGGGGGTTAATTTTGACTTTAATCTATTTTTGCACATCAATTCTAGCGCATGACCTGGTCTTTGGTATTCAGTCAAGAGATTACCTACCATGTAGATTTGTATAGACGTGGAACCCATCTCTCAAAGCAAAACAATCTGTATAACTACACACATTAGGGCCCTTCTCAGGCCAGATGAGAGTGAGAGCCAGGGGGAGAGAACAAACTGGGGTGAGGAGTGAATGGAAAGAGGGAAGGGGGAGGAAGAGGAGAATAGAAGAGAAAGCACCATCCTTCCCAGGTTTTATTGTGAGAAATAAATCTCATTTTCCTCCAAGAGCATGACCAGGAAGAATGAAAGCAAGGCTAAACAGACTGCCTCAAGATCATTACCGCTAAATTATTGTCACTTGTAAGTGACAGTATCTTATCCAGTTTTACAGCAGACAGGAGCAACACCAAGTGACATACAAGAAAACTTACTTTCTGAACACCTATGTCTAAAATATCATCACTCTTTCCCAAAGTTGATGCTGACAAATCTAGCAGCTTATCCATACTCTGCATATTCAAAGGAAAAGAGGTCTTATATAATGAAACATGCAGGTTAACGCGACAAGCAAATCTGTCTAGAGAAGTAAATCAATCTAAATGTAGTATGTATGCATAGTTTCTGAAAATCAGGAAAAGACAAACATACAAGCACCCCAAGCAAGACACTAAAAAAACAGGCCTATTTATTCAGAAACAGAAGATAAACATTAAACAGCACTAGCCGAGCATTGTCTTGTCTGCTTAGCATGAGAACTAAGCTTCTACAAGTCTAACAGCAACCTGGCCTCATTCCTCCTGCAATTTTGCATGATGCCACACATGCATTGTGGTTTCTCACCATGAAAGTAAACTAGAGTCAGCAAGAAATCCACTCATTAGTCCCTAATTTCGCAAGCTAATTAAGTACATGATGTTATTACTTTAACCATGATAGAGGTTTAATAGCTACTTAGGTAAATCCAATGGAGCATAATTAACTTTTAAATTAAATAATGACTTCATACCACACAGTTGAATCCTTAAAACTGCTTATAAGACTTCCAAACCAGGAACAGGATTAACCTTAAAGAGGACCTAGAGAAGCATATAGCCAATCAAACTTTAGACACAAATCAAACCAAACACAAGACTTGCTTTCAATAGTACCTAGGTAACATGTGGGAGTGGGAGAATAGACGGGCTAGATGGTATATGCAGATGCTTCGAAGAACAACCTTCACATCTATGCTCAAGACTTATTTCGATTATGCCGTGGTGCCAATTACTGAGTAAGAGCATACAGAATTAAGTGCAAACATGCAGATGCTGAATGTAAATATAAAATTGAGCCAAATATAACGTTACCATTTGATGCCTCAAAATAGATATAGAAAGTATAAGAAGTGATGGAATTGGACCACACTAACCTTATTTAGATCATAGCCGCACTGGCCTGCAAATCCAACAACATCAGATTAGCAAAGAAATTGTCCAGAAATTGTGACAGCTCAATAGGAATTAGGATGCAGTTACAAGGAAGAAAAAGAAGGAATGGAAAGTAAAGCTATCTCAGTGCAACCTATAAAGCAGATACCCTTTCCAGGAAGGGGTTTGGTAATATTAAGCACAACCGGAATACGTGGACCATCCACAAGTTGCATTCTTGTTCACAAAATTAAGTCCCAAAATAGACTTTAAAGAAACATTTAACCGACTGTTGCAAGTTTTATTGGAAGATTACCAAAAAGAAGTGAAGAAAGAAATGACACGATTTCAGGCATTGAAAGTAAACATTAGCGTCACTCCATATGTGAAAGCTACTTCTCAAGTAATCTTACAAATACTTAGAATAGACTTAAGCAAAGTGCTCACCCACAACATCTTCAATTACACTCATGTCAAGAGAGAATCCATCTCCGAGCATTTTGAAGAGGAACTCCTCAACACTGCCTGGCAGGGTTTCACTCATAGCGGCAGCACCTAATGGAGCTTTCTCATCCCTTATCTCTGGGGTAAAAAAATCATCCACACTTAATTTCAGTGGCTTAATTCTCGTAGAAGTTTCTGGAATGAGTGGCCTATTTGTCACATAGTCTCTAGGGATCATGCTTGAGACAGTCCCCATAGACACTGATAACTTTTTTTGCTTAGATGAACTGGGACCGGCTCTCTTGGCATGAATATCAGATGCAGATTCAGATTCAGAAGTTAATGTCACGGAATCTCCTACTTCCTCAAATTCGGATTCAGAAGTCAATGTCCAAGAATCCTCTATTTTTTCTTCTGATGCAGAGGTAGTAGTTATAGAGGTGCTAGCTTGCAGATCTCCAAGTATATCACCTGCAATAATTGGATCCCGACCTGCTTTACAATAAGCTGCAGCAATGTCATCAAGAGAGACAACACGTCCAAAGACATCAAGCAACTGCTCCAGGTTCTTTCTATCATCATCAGTAAACAAAACTGTTGGAGGTGCTTCCATCTTCATCCTTCCAGCATAAGATGAAATAAAGAACCTCTGACAAGAGTAAAGAAGCAACTATATTGAGAACATCACATATTAATCAAAGGCTGTGTAACATATATTGGAGTAACAGAAACCACAAAGAAAAGGAAGTAGCAGGAATTGGATAGTATAACAACAAGAGAATCCAACATTTCGTGGATAACAGAACCTAAATAGAACCAATAACTGTGATAGGAGAAAAGGAACTAAGGAATACAAGTAAATATGGAGAAATAGTGCTTTTGATAAGAAAAATGGAGAAATACTACTTTTGATAAGAAAAATGGAGAAATAGTACTAACTAATTGTTTAGATCTAACAGAAGTGATCAAAGAGTTAGTTTTTACTCTCCAGCTTGTCTACGCAACGTCATCACACTGCCATAAGAATAATGTTGGTAAATCCTTTTGGTATGAGAAAATGATATGCAACTGCTGCAAACTAATTCAATTCTCGTATCGCCCACAGCCCAATAAATCTCTTTAAGAATACCAAATTTTAGAACTATCCAGATTTGGCATAAAGGCACATTCAAGTCTGAACTTCCAAGTTTTGAAGAAAATCGCAAAGAAGCACATTGTGAGACTGACATTTCAGCTTTCCAGAAATTCGATATTCTTTCTCAAATTACTGAATAATACATTAAGCATACAAATATTACCACGGAAAAAGATGCTGAGCACACTATTACTCAGAAAATGAAAAATAATCCTCAAGTTACAGAAATTCCTGAAAAAATTAGTAGTGAACAATAATAAACTAACATTCATTAAGGAAAGAACACATATTATCAAATTATACCGTACATTAACAAAAGTCGATCAATGCTACTGTACATACACTATCACAAAAAATAAAAAAATAAAAAAACAAAAAAAAACACAGTCGACTCACAAATTAAAGGCAGGTTTCGGAATTGAAAAGGCAATGCACTTAGATATTATCCAAAAAAAATTCAATCAAAGAAGATAAACAAGCAAACAAACATTCTTCGGAATTTTAAACATCAACGCTTTGCTCAAAAGCGATGAATTTATTCATTGTGCGAAAAATTTCGTGCTTCTACGAATGCTAAACAATACAATGCAACTCGATTCATTTAAAATTATGGAGAATGATTAAATTTTTCATCCAATAAAAATAAAATTGGCGTGATTAATCAGCGTACAGAAAGAGAAAAAGCTTCACACTATATATTTGAAGGTCGATGAGAGTGGAAGAAAAGAAGTTGCTTGCGTTCGATTCTCTCCCTCCACCCCACGCTCTGCCCAGTATGTAGTCCCCAACCTCTGCTTCTGAAAGGAGGAAGAAGTTAAAGAGAGTGGAGAGAGAAGTGTTGTTCTGCTAATTATTTGACTCGAGTCACGCGGAAAGTGCCCAAGGTAAATTACCAAAAGATTCTCAAGTGTGTTTGGTATGTTTATGGAATATCACTTGTAATTTTCTTTCTTAAGATTTCTTTTTATTACCGAAAAAAAGTTATAGGGATGAATGTAATCCTTCATTTTTAGAGGTCTTATGCAATACAAATCCCCATAATTTATAGTGGACTTTGGATGCCAGATTTATATAATATGAAAATAAAAATTATGTATATATTTTACAAAATATTTTATTGAAAAAAATTGGCGGAATAATCAAACTAACATTCGTATTGCACGGGATTGTGTTTCTGAGTTCTGACCTCTGTTTTAAAAGGCAGAAGGCAGAATTGGGACTCGCCCGGGGCTCGCCCCAGGGCGGAGCACTCGTAAAACGATTCTGGGCTTATATGTGGGGCTTAGTTCCGTGAGACTTATGCCTCGGCCTTCAGGGCTTACGCCCCGGACACGCCCAACGCCCAGCGTACTGGGCTCGCCTAATAGAACCTTATGCAATTGTGTGTAACTAATCTTGTAAATGCACAAATTTTCTTAATAAATCGTTGACTATTCAAAATTACTTTTTTCTTAATCATAAACCATTAAGTTGAGAGTATTTTATGTCATGATTAAAATAAAAATTATTGCACGTTATCCACTAAGACTGCTATGATAGTAAATTTTAAATAAATCTTTCATTTAAAAAGTATATATTTATTAACTTTTGATATGTCTTTATTATATAATAGTCCATAATTTTCTTATAATTATTTTTCTAAATTTTTTTTTTTCATGTTTATGTGATACAATACTTATTAATTTAATAGCTCAATATTAGCTATTAACAATTTACAAATAATTAGTTATCATGGTATTGTGGTGAATTATGTGTCACAATATTAACTTGTTGAAACTTAAAAATAAATGATGCTAGAGAATCATATTTAAATTGTGAATAATATTTTTGTATAAATTCTCTTTCAAATAGAAAGCATATTAAATAAAAGGAGTATTATATAAAAAATATCAAATTATAATATTGAAATTCTTTCAAGATTCATTACTCCTTAAGAGATACGTATAAAATTTCATATCGAATACATTATTTTTAATGTTTGAGTTGTAACGACGTTGCAGCTAATTTGCATATTATGATATATGTCATACTTTTTGTATTATTCATGGTTGAATTATAATTTAAATATTTTAAATAGATTATTTGTTATAATTTTGTGATTTTAATGTAATTTTTATAATTATTTTTTATTTTATACTATCTTAAAATTCTTGAAATTAGTAAAATTTAAAGATCCGTACGATATACGCCCCATGTTTCAGGGCTTACGCCTCGCCTCTTCAGAGGTAAAACGCCTCACCTCACGCCTCACGCCTCACGCCCCCGCCTTTTTAAAACATTGTTTCTGACCCCTCGACTCCACGTCATTCAAATCAGATTCCTTATGTTGGTTGAAACTATACGTCTCTAACGGCTTAACAAATTCATGGTACGCATGCATTTAAAGAGCGTCAATGGTGTTTTTCTCTTAAAAAAAAGTGAGAAAAGCCTAACTCGAAGGGTGTTAAGGAGTTCCAATTATTCTTTTACCGATTTTTGTCATTTCCATCGTTCCAACTCACACCATGCACTTGTAATTATATTTTAATCACTTTTCCACCCTCGTATGGGTCCATACATATCTCAGTTTTACTTTAATTACATCGTTAGGGCTGTAATTAGTTAATATGTTATAATTAAGGTTTAAATTTAAGGAAAATGACTTCCTTAATTATGGAATGCATAACTACTAGCAACATAGTTGTTTTAGCTAATGGGAGTAGAAGCAAATTTTTCTCACCTAGCAGGGGAATTAGACAAGGGGACCCCCTTTCCCCCTATATTTTTATTCTCTGCTTGGAAATGTTATCTATTAACATAAATCATCAGGTGGACATTGGTAATTGGTCTCCCATTAGTCTAGGTAAGAAGAATTATAAGTTATCTTATTTATTCTATGCGGACGATCTGACCTTAATGTGCAAAGTAGATAACAAATCCCCAAATACCATCCTAAGATGCCTAGAGTCTTCTGCTCCTTATCAGGCCAAAAGATTAACAAGGATAAGTCCAAAATTATTGTTTCAAAAAATTGTCCAGTGACTACCAAAAAGGAATTATCCAAACTATTCAATATTAATTGCAGCAATTCTTTTGATAAATACCTAGGCTTTCCAATAACAAACACAAAACCTAGGCCTTCGGATTATCAATTCATCCTTGATAAAATGTCTGCCAAACTAGCCTCCTGGAAGTCCAAATTCCTTAATATGGCAGGCCGGACTATCATAGCTAATGCTTCTCTTAATAGTATCCCAAATCATGTTATGCAGTACAATTTCCTGCCAATCAAGATCCTCAAAACCATTGATAAAATTCAAAAAAGGTTCATTTGGGGTTCCACTACTACCGCTAACAAAATTCACCTCCTTCCTTGGAGCACCTTGACTAAAGATAAAAAAGATGGAGGTATTGGCATCCATGCGGCAAAAGATAAAAATCTTGTGGCCCTAGCTAGCCTGTCATGGAGAATTCTCCACAACCCTCTACTTCCCTGGTCTCAAACTTTTTCATCTCTCTATGGCTACTCAGAAAATCTAAAAACCACTTCATTCATTTGGAAAAGTATTGTCAAAGGATGGGAGATTTGTAACAAAGGCCTAAAATGGATACCTCATCCAAACTCTCCCATGAATATATGGGAATCAAATTGGATTCCACAATCCAATACTCTTAGGAAAATAATAGAGGGTCCCCTCCCCTTATCCACAGTTCATCTGAGCATTAAAGATCTTTGGCTAAGAGGCAAATGGGATTTTTCAAAAATCCCTTTCGTATTACCTCTGCATATTCAGAATGCCATCTGGTCCGTAGAGCCTAACAAAAATAATCATGACTCTTGCTATTGGGATTTGACTACAAATGGTATTTTAGCACTAAGTCATGGTACAATCTTACTAACCCTAGTGTAAACAAGCCTAGTGTTTTTGATTGGGTTTGGAGTTCAAAATGCCCCAACAAGATCAAATTTCTGATGTGGAAATGTTTCCATAATAGGCTCCCTACGCGTCATTATTTACACCACATAGGCATAAACATTGACCTAATTTGTCCAGTGTGCAAGAATGGGGAAGAAACACTTGAACACATATTCTTACTTTGTGACTCGATTAAATCTTTCTGGTCATCTCTCAACATAAACCTTTCCCATGTGAAATTCCCTGGTGACTGGTTATACCAGATCAGGAACATAAATATAAAGTTCTCCCCAGCCTCTTTATCTTGGGAAAACCTACTTCCCTTTGTCATCTGGACTATTTGGTCAAATAGGATCAATAACAATCACAATAACTTGTCTCGAAAATACAATCATTCGCATGCAACTTCCCTAGCTCTTGAATATTACTACCTCACTACTAGGGAATCTTTAACAACCCAATCCATTTCCATAAACATCACCTGGAACAAACCATCCCACGAGTATATAAAGCTTAACATAAATGGTGCTTTCCAGGACAGTTCAAACTTGGGAGTTATGGGAGGGGTTTATAGAAATGACAGAGGAGATTGGCTACTGGGCTTCCAACACTCCAAGCCATCATCATCCTCTCTCCAATCAGAATTAGAAGCTTTAAAATTAGGACTTTCAACAGCACTCAAATATGGTCTCTCACCACTAATAGTGGAAACTGATGCAACAGAACTCATTAAAGTTTTTAACTCTAATTCGATGACTTACACCTCTATTATTTCTGATTGTAGGTGGTTAATCCACCAGCTGAAGCACCCGAAGATCATCCATAACTTTCGGGAAGGGAACAAGGTGGCCCATAAAATGGCCAAGGATGGACATGCAAGGAAAAAGCAAGTTTTTGTGAATCCATTGCCTCTAGTACTAAATAACCTAGCAATGGATAAAAATGACTATGTTTATTCAATCAAAAAACTCAGTACTAATGCATGTTTTATCTTAGCCGAAATGGGGAATGTAAATGTCCTTGAGGCTTGCCCTATTACTAAGGATGTATCTGTCGGTACTATGTAATGTTATCTATTTAATAAATATCTTTCCCATAAAAAAAGGTTTAAATTTAAGGGCCTTTATAAAAATCACCCTTAATGATTTTTGAATTGAAATATATGCACATATTTTGGTTATAATGACTAATGTAATTCAGTTATTTGTCACTTGTAACACTCTTTTTCTCTTGTATGGCTCAATTCTTGTACATCATTCTTTTACCAAAAATAATATTGAAAAATGAGGTTAAGAAAAAAGGTCTTTTCGACAGAAGTTAAGAAGCTAAAGAAAGCATTGGTCGGGCTCAACTTACAATAGAAGTTGAGCTCCCTAGACAAATATTATGACCAACCTAAAGACCATTGCACTAAGGGGTCACTTGGTATAAGGTATAAGGTGGGATACGATGTAGGATTAAATTTATACCTTGTTTGGTTGGAGGTATAAATCTATTTTGGGATAAATCTATACCGCCAACCAAATAAGGTATAAATTTAATTTAGGGCTTAGAGGGTGTTTGGATGGGCTTAAAAGCTGATCAAACCAGCTTTTAAGCACTTTTTTATTTTTTGGAGTGTTTGACAAATAAAAAAAACTGCTTAAAAAAAGCTAAAAAGTGCTTAAAAAAAGTCAAAAGCAACAAGTTGGCTGACCCCAACTTTTTTATTTTGGCTTAAAAGCCATTTTAGTTTGACCAATAAAATTACTCTCTTGTCC